GAAAACATTACCTGCAATAGTAGTGGGCTCCCCGCAAGCCTAGCCGTCTCCCGGTGATGAAAAGCGTCTAAGCCCTTTGCCATGGCCATTTTCAGTTTGGGAAATCGATGTGATCGGGGCTGTTACCCCAAAGGGGTCGAATGGGCATGAGTTCATCCTAGTCGCGATAGATTATTTCACGAAGTGGGTTGAGGCCCAATCTTATGCGGTGTTGAAGGCGTCGTACGTTGCAAAGTTTATCAGAAACAACATCATCTGTCGTTATGGGGTCCCAAACGGGGTCATTTCAGATAATGGTTCTCACTTTAAGAAGGAAGTGATTGATTTGCTGGAGAAATACAACGTGGCTTTTCATAAGTCATCCACATACCGGCCACAAATCAATGGAGCGGTTGAGGCCGCCAACAAGAACGTCAAGCACATACTGCAAAAGATGGTGGAAACTTACCGGGATTGGCCAGATAAGCTGCCGTTTGCTCTGTGAGGCTACCGGACTTCAATTAGAACTTCTACTGGGGCGACTTCGTATTCATTGGTCTATGGGATGGAGGCCGTTCTACCTATTGAAATCGAAGTTCCGTCTTTGCGAGTATTGGATGAGTGTCAGATAGCCGAAGCAGATTGGCAGCAGAGCAGATTTGAGGAACTTATTCTCATTGATGAAAGAAGACTGAAAGCATTGTACCATGTTCAAGGTTATTAGCGCAGAATTGCCCGGGCTTTCAACAAGAAGGTTAATTCCAGGAATCTAAAAGAAGGAGATTTGGTGCTCAAAGACAACCGAGCTCCGATCCACGATCCTAGGGGCAAGTTCAGACCCAATTGGACTGGTCCCTACATCATTAAGTCTATCTGGTCAGGTGGAGCTGTGGTTCTGATGGACTTAGATGGCCTAGAGTTCTCCCAACCGATCAATACGGACAAGTTGAAGAAATATTACCCCTGAGAGGCCCGCTAGGTCGAAAACCCGAAAGGGCAACCTAGGCAAGAGTTAGAGCATAAAAAAATTAAAAAAATCTAAAAACTGAGCTCGCAAGGTTGAAAACCCGTAAAGGGCGGCCTTGGCAAACAAGCAGACATCTCCATCTGGGGACTGCTTATGGCATCACAAGTGCATCGACAAGCTGTCTTATCGGCCATGGACAAGGCCAAGCTCTCTATAGACACCACGCCTGAACAGCTGGTAGGCTTAGTTTTTCTGACGTGACGAAATTTTTAATCACCAAACAATAAAATCAATGAAAACTTTCATATATAAACTGTAATAAATTTTATCACAAAAAATATTTATTAGCGACGAATAATCACTTTGTCATAATAACAAGTACAAATGACGAAACAAATTCGTTACTAAACTTGTTTCATATTTTATATTTCAATTTAAATTATTATTTCACAAATATCCCTGCTCATATCCTAATAACTTTTTAATTGTACTAAGAAATCCACTAACTATTATACACCACTCCATAAAAAAAATTCACTAAACAATTTATATTATAAATCAAAATATATCCATTAAACAAATTTAATAATAATCCATTAAGTAAAACAAAAAAAACATCATAACAAATTCCAAAATGAACTAACGTGGAGTCCACAAAAAAAAATCAACACGATCTTGATTTGCAACTCGAACTAAGTATCAATTCATATAAAAATAAATAAATTCAACACTTGATCTTGATTTGCAAGTATGCTTCCAAACGTAATCAAAACCAATCTGTAAAGAAAATAAATAAGGAAAACATTAATATATTGTCAATTACATCTAAACTCATATATAAATAATTTTATTGTATAAGCCAATTTAGTAGAAATATATATAACAATCCAAAACTTCAAAGAGTTGAAATTATCTTTGATGATAAGTAACACGGATAACAGAAGATGCCAGAAGATGCCAAAAGAGTACATGAATATCCTGTATCACTAGCACTAATGTCAACAAGAACCAGAAAAAATCAAAGAACCTGTTTCACACAAACTAATCAGCATTTTTATTTAAATCTAAATATTTTCCTATTTTATTTTTAACCTCAACGAGGCAAAAGGTCAAAACACATAGCTTTCAGGTTTCTTTGGTCACCAAGTTTCCTAGTGTTCAAGCTAGATTCTAACATAATTGGCATTGTGTAACATATATCTTGAATAAATTTAATGTTGAATGTCCTCAAGTATGATTTCCAAGGCATTTCCCTCTCATTGTTCTAGAGCCGAAAGTTTAAATTCCTAGGAACACTATACCAAAGCCCAAGTATGAACTAAAAAAGTCCAGATCTGACATTCCTACATCATCAATATAATGATTATTTGAATATAAAATTCCAATATTTGACTTTGATCCACATCCATGATACACATTATCTTTTCACAGTTTAATAAGTAGTTCGTGGTCTTTGATCATACTAAAGCCTCTCTGCATAAAAATCAATACATAAGATTAAAATTTGTTGCCTATAGCTTTGACATACAGATTTTAATTTGATGAAATCTATCTAAGTTGATTAAATGAGCAACCTCATTCCAAATCTGCTGCATTTCAATAAGTGAGAAATCAAGTTGAACTATGCAGTAATAACTAAAATGCCTCTATTAGAGATACAGGGAACATATTATTATTTTGTACGCATTAAGAATAACAACAGTAGGAGGGCATAAAGAAAAGAAAACATATTAATGAACCCATATCAACAATTAGTAGCCCATAATAATCAAACAGCAACCAGAACCTAAACAAAGAGGGAAGGAGAGAGAGAGAGAGAGAGAGAGAGAGAGAGATTACGTTAGGTGAAGGGCAATAAAATGCTTGCTTCTCATCCTCATTCGATGGACCAATTGTTCACCCATTTCAGTTATGGGATCATTACATTAACTGTCTATCATCTTTATAGAAAAACATCCTTGATAGTTAGTTGATTGGGCATGTTTGCCTGCAAGAATATAAAGCTATAATTGTGAAGGTTTGGAAATAATTACATAGATGCTACATGGTTTATAGCAAAATGATTCTATTATTATATATCAATGAATAACACATACCAAGTCTCTCAGAATGACCATGATGTTTCTGCACAATAATATCACGCTTTCTATACTCTACAACCTCATCATCCTCTTGGTATTACAGTAACTTAACAGCATTTGGAGCATTATAAGCGCAGGGATCTACAGATGGATCAGCGCGAACAAAAATATGATGAGTGTCCAAGTCAGCAACTATTCTCAAACTTCTGCAGAACACCAAATATGGAGTTGAAGCCCTAATAGCAATCAAAAGGGTAATGATGTGTGGATCCAAGTTATTCAAAATCACATTTTTCCATTTTTTCCTTCAATTTCCGAGCAAGCAAACACATTAATAGAGAGATTGAAGCAGCCAAATATAAAAAGAGAGCCAACACATACAGAAATTAATCCAACATATTATCACAAATTTCCACTCAATCACATATAATACGTACCAAATCACTCCAAAATCTATACACACAGGTATTTTTCTCATATTTTTCTCATATTTGTCTTATTTTATTTCAACACTAGGACATTTTATCTTCCAATTTCAAATTTACCAGTTCTTGCCTCAACAAATTCAAACTTGCTGATAATCAATGAAACAGTAAATTTGAAACAAATCTAGGAATCAAAACTTTTCATTCAATCGAAACTAATACCAATCCACAGATGCTATATGTTATCCATTAAGTAAAACAAAAAAAACATCATAACAAATTCCAAAATGAACTAACGTGGAGTCCACAAAAAAAAATCAACACGATCTTGATTTGCAACTCGAACTAAGTATCAGTTCACATAAAAATAAATAAATTCAACACTTGATCTTGATTTGCAAGTATACTTCCAAATGTCATCAAAACCAATCTGTAAAGAAAATAAATAAGGAAAACATTAATATATTGTCAATTACATCTAAACTCATATATAAATAATTTTATTGTATAAGCCAATTTAGTAGAAATATATATAACAATCCAAAACTTCAAAGAGTTGAAATTGTCTTTGATGATAAGTAACACGGATAACAGAAGATGCCAGAAGATGCCAAAAGAGTACATGAATATCCTGTATCACTAGCACTAATGTCAACAAGAACCAGAAAAAATCAAAGAACTTGTTTCACACAAACTAATCAGCATTTTTATTTATCTAAATATTTTCCTATTTTATTTTTAACCTCAACGAGGCAAAAGGTCAAAACACATAGCTTTCAGGTTTCTTTGGTCACCAAGTTTCCTAGTGTTCAAGCTAGATTCTAACATAATTGGCATTGTGTAACATATATCTTGAATAAATTTAATGTTGAATGTCCTCAAGTATGATTTCCAAGGCATTTCCCTCTCATTGTTCTAGAGCCGAAAGTTTAAATTCCTAGGAACACTATACCAAAGCCCAAGTATGAACTAAAAAAGTCCAGATCTGACATTCCTACATCATCAATATAATGATTATTTGAATATAAAATTCCAATATTTGACTTTGATCCACATCCATGATACACATTATCTTTTCACAGTTTAATAAGTAGTTCGTGGTCTTTGATCATACTAAAGCCTCTCTGCATAAAAATCAATACATAAGATTAAAATTTGTTGCCTATAGCTTTGACATACATATTTTAATTTCATGAAATCTATCTAAGTTGATTAAATGAGCAACCTCATTCCAAATCTGCTGCATTTCAATAAGTGAGAAATCAAGTTGAACTATGCAGTAATAACTAAAATGCCTCTATTAGAGATACAGGGAACATATTATTATTTTGTCCACATTAAGAATAACAACAGTAGGAGGGCATAAAGAAAAGAAAACATATTAATGAACCCATATCAACAATTAGTAGCCCATAATAATCAAACAGCAACCAGAACCTAAACAAAGAGGGAAGGAGAGAGAGAGAGAGAGAGAGAGAGAGAGAGATTACGTTAGGTGAAGGGCAATAAAATGCTTGCTTCTCATCCTCATTCGATGGACCAATTGTTCACCCATTTCAGTTATGGGATCATTACATTAACTGTCTATCATCTTTATAGAAAAACATCCTTGATAGTTAGTTGATTGGGCATGTTTGCCTGCAAGAATATAAAGCTATAATTGTGAAGGTTTGGAAATAATTACATAGATGCTACATGGTTTATAGCAAAATGATTCTATTATTATATATCAATGAATAACACATACCAAGTCTCTCAGAATGACCATGATGTTTCTGCACAATAATATCACGCTTTCTATACTCTACAACCTCAACATCCTCTTGGTATTACAGTAACTTAACAGCATTTGGAGCATTATAAGCGCAGGGATCTACAGATGGATTAGCGCGAACAAAAATATGATGAGTGTCCAAGTCAGCAACTATTCTCAAACTTCTGCAGAACACCAAATATGGAGTTGAAGCCCTAATAGCAATCAAAAGGGTAATGATGTGTGGATCCAAGTTATTCAAAATCACATTTTTCCATTTTTTCCTTCAATTTCCGAGCAAGCAAACACATTAATAGAGAGATTGAAGCAGCCAAATATAAAAAGAGAGCCAACACATACAGAAATTAATCCAACATATTATCACAAATTTCCACTCAATCACATATAATACGTACCAAATGACTCCAAAATCTATAAACTGGTATTTTTCTCACATTTGTCTTATTTTATTTCAACACTAGGACATTATATCTTCCAATTTCAAATTTACCAGTTCATGCCTCAACAAATTCAAACTTGCTGATAATCAATGAAACAGTAAATTTGAAACAAATCTAGGAATCAAAACTTTTCATTCAATCGAAACTAATACCAATCCACAGATGCTATATGTTGAACTCACAAGACAACAAAATTCACCAAATGTAGCAATAATTGAAGACTGAATGATGGCAATAGGAACTAGTTGATTTCCCAAACAAGAAGAACAATATACATACAAAGCAATTAATTTTCCAATTCAGAGTAGGTTCAAATGAATATTCGATGTAATAGAGTAACTAAATTCAAATCAACAATAAAATCTAAAAACTAGTAAAATCCATTAACTAAATTCAAATCCACTAAAATCAATTGATGATTAGTAAATAGTATGTATTTAAAGTCAATGCAAGCATGGAAATAGAAATATTGATAATACTTGATAACATGATCATTCATCAAATAGTCCATAAGCGCTCCTTCTGCCATGTTGAATTGGCTTAATTCTTGGATAGGAATATCTTATCAAGTTAAACTGATATGATAGTATTCGATTTTAGGTGACATTTATGTAGTATTAAAAACATAGCATCAATAGCAACTCCTCTTTTAGACTAATATACACACTACTAGTTCTATTGCACACCCAATTCTATTGTTATTTCTGTCTTTTTGATTGTGTTGGATTGTATCCTGAATTCCAAGCATGCAACTTGATAAAAAATGAATGTACTAATTCCTTGCTTAACAACTTTCCTGTACTGCACACATCTAAAGTAAATTGTCAAATGTGGAAAATTTCAGGTATCTTTCTTTATAGGCACAGGTAAACTCAGATTCTGATTTATTATTGATATATGTTTTATGCAAGTCTATGTCCAAGGCAAAGAATTACCTCTATATTGAACTCATCCAACAAATCTTTTACAAATGGCATCTCTTCGAGCAACTCATTCTTTAATCCCTTCAAATACTGAGCAAGGAATGCAGGTAGAGTCAGTCAGCATAAAAGTTTATTTGCATGTGAAGCTAATTTAAGGGTTGAGTGGGGAACTCTGATAGTGGAAACACTGGTAGATGGCCCATCAAATTCAAACCTCGCCACGTGATGACCTAAAAATAGTTTTCCAATCCTCACAAAAAAAATTGCTTTTCAATTTTTTGGGCACTGTGTGTACAGTTTCCTGGGAGAAGTTGGTAGTTTAATCACTAACTTCTTGTGCTATGTACTTGTCAAATGTATCACTGATAATATCTAGAAACATGAGGAAATATAACATTTTTAAAACCTCAATTCTCAATAATATAAAAAAAATTCCAGACCTGTATAAAGTTGGAGATTATTATCTTTCCATCTGGATTATGTGGCTGCACCATTTGCTTGAATTGATGATGACTAATCTGGATGACCTGAGAAAGTCTCTTAGTTCTCACCGTAAAAGGTTGTGGGATATTGAAAAGTACCCTTATTTCTCCTGCCATGTCTGCAACCCCTAATTTTGACAAGAACTGGAAATCCCATTTGAACTAAGTTAACATTAAATACAACTCTTTGTTCTGTTAGTTCAATGATTCAAATGTAGAAAAAATGGAATAACTAGGATTTATTTCAGCAGATAGGAAACTTTCATCAGTTTGGTCTCATATAAGATCATCTTGTGATTTCCTTCGTTGAATGGATTTTTTTTCTAGTGAAATTTCTACATATTACAATTTTTAGATTGGTGTTGGTCATTCTTTGCCTTGCATGTTACATAGCAACTAGAAAGGTTACTGCTTTCCTATGACAAATCAAAACTATATGCAACGTAGCTGTGAAATGAAACCACAGTTACAGATTGGTTTTGGCTCTCCATTTTATTTTCTTTTGAAGTAATATGTTTTTGTGTGCAAGTAATTGTGTATGTGAGACTCAATGTGGGTTGATTAGTAGTTTCCTGTGCATGACATATTGTGTATGTGAGACTCAATGTTTTTTGTCTTTGCAATACTCACGCGCTGAACATATCAGCTCCATTTCATTGAAAAAAAAGTAAAACCATACCTGCTCCGTGCCATTTTTGTATATCACGACATCCTGCATTTCAGATGGTCAGATTTTGCTTCTGGTAGTGTACATAGAATAACATGTGAAAGGAGAAGTAACCATACCACTGCTCCAGATACTAGAATGTAGAAATCCGTAGGTATCTCATTTTGTAAGTTGATATCAACCTTTGGTGGAAAATATTTTGCTTTCATTTCAGACACCTGAGAGGAGAAGATGCCACAAGATGCTGCTTAATTAGATGACAATCTGGTAACTCTGAATTTAAAATTTCCACATTGATTTTGGCTCCTGCTATATGGACTCATTATGCATCCTGGATGTGTGTATGGACTGTCTATCAGACACTTCTTCTTCCCTATGTAGGACATGGAGACATGATGTTTTAAGTATCTGAATTCTTCTTAAACGTTTACACTAAAATGTTATTGTATCATATTATGTTTGACATGGATGCCTCTAGCCTCGTATTGGTAGTATCCATGGAACAGAAGAACAATTTAGTGAAACATCATAATGAAATGCTGGAGCTAGGAATTGTTTACCCTTTTTTTTTCCCCTTTCTAAACATGTATGTATTTGACATGGGTACTTCACCCTACTTTGGAATATTCATATATTACCAACAATATATACATATAATATATATATATATTCTTAACAAACATTCTCTTGGCTTCAAGGAACACATAACTAATAGTTTGTCTATTATTATGTCATGTTGAGTCTGAAATAGGTACTTCACATTTTGAAGTGTCAATGTGCTCAGTTAATAATATTCTTATTGTTGTTATTGTTTTGTTGCTATTAAACTAGAGTAATTACTATAATATTGCAACATGATCTATAATGTGAAGGAGAGGGAAAAGATATTGTACCAGTTGGACGATAAGGTCTTCAGAAACTCCTTTGAAGAGATAGGCATTTTCCACAGTTCCATGAAAAAGATGCTGAGCAATACTTGATCTAATTGCCTTAGGTAGGTCTTCAAGCACTTCCTCCTGCTGTAATTCTGCTGTCCTAAATTTCAGTTGCATATTTGCCAGCATTTGCTCTTTCAAACTTTCCGGAAGTCGATTCTTGCTTGCATATCGCAAAATCTGATTGATGGTGTCCCTCTATAAAGCCATTATTAGATAATACTCATAATAGTGTAGTCTAGTAGATTGGGGAGGCACACTTCTGAAAAGTTGAGGGTCTGGTCATTTTGATTCCCTCCCCACACTAGAGAGAGAGAGAGAGAGAGAGAGAGAGAGAGAGAGAGAGAACCGTGACTCCAAAAGTCAAATGTGTTCATAAAAAGGGTTTTAGAGGAATTACCATGGCAAAGGTTCGGACTAAAATTACCATGGCAAAGGGTTTTAGAGGAATTACCATGGCAAAGGTTCGGACTAAAATTACCATGGCAAAGGGTTTTAGAGGAATTACCATGGCAAAGGTTCGGACTAAAATTACCATGGCAAAGGGTTTTAGAGGAATTACCATGGCAAAGGTTCGGACTAAAATTACCATGGCAAAGGGTTTTAGAGGAATTACCATGGCAAAGGTTCGGACTAAAATTACCATGGCAAAGGGTTTTAGAGGAATTACCATGGCAAAGGTTCGGACTAAAATTACCATGGCAAAGGGTTTTAGAGGAATTACCATGGCAAAGGTTCGGACTAAAATTACCATGGCAAAGGGTTTTAGAGGAATTACCATGGCAAAGGTTCGGACTAAAATTACCATGGCAAAGGGTTTTAGAGGAATTACCATGGCAAAGGTTCGGACTAAAATTACCATGGCAAAGGGTTTTAGAGGAATTACCATGGCAAAGGTTCGGACTAAAATTACCATGGCAAAGGGTTTTAGAGGAATTACCATGGCAAAGGTTCGGACTAAAATTACCATGGCAAAGGGTTTTAGAGGAATTACCATGGCAAAGGTTCGGACTAAAATTACCATGGCAAAGGGTTTTAGAGGAATTACCATGGCAAAGGTTCGGACTAAAATTACCATGGCAAAGGGTTTTAGAGGAATTACCATGGCAAAGGTTCGGACTAAAATTACCATGGCAAAGGGTTTTAGAGGAATTACCATGGCAAAGGTTCGGACTAAAATTACCATGGCAAAGGGTTTTAGAGGAATTACCATGGCAAAGGTTCGGACTAAAATTACCATGGCAAAGGGTTTTAGAGGAATTACCATGGCAAAGGTTCGGACTAAAATTACCATGGCAAAGGGTTTTAGAGGAATTACCATGGCAAGGGTTTTAGAATTGTATTTCCATGAACAACACATAATGAGAGTGAAAATAAAAATTCAAAAGACTCAAACCCCATTATAGAATAAAACACAACTAGAAACAATCTACTATCACTAAGACCACAAGCTCTGCTTAAATTGTTGTTCTTTTGTTACCTAGAACCAACAAACTAATTAATAGGCACCAATCAAAACATGAATTGATTATATTCAAAACCCTAGAAACATTATGTATAATATACATTGGCTCAAGAATCATCTGATACGGTATACAAATTATCAACTGTGAATTTCTTCAATAATGAAGAAACTGTATTAGCTTAGGGAAATTGAGACTTGATGAAGTCAGCTTTCCATACCTCAATAAGGTTTCGATCGACAGTGAGGCGATTCAGGGTAAGAGTTCTAGTTTTATCACTACAGAGGACATCCATTCCAGCCATTTCTTCAATTGCTATCATCCTCTTCGTAATGGCGCCCTTTAGGTAACAGACGGAAAACAAGGGAAAAATTAAAAGAATAAAGAGTAGTTATGTAGTCAGCATTGAAATTTGAGCTTAAGATTCTTCTGTTATGGCTCTTACATGAATTATTTTGAGTTTGTATTAATTATTTGTGTGTGACAAACAATGGTGACAGCAAGTGATTCTCCAGTAAGAGCCCACTGCACAGAACAAACAAAAAAAAAAAGATAGTAATACCACTTAACCAATCGTATAAAATTTATTTAGAATAGACAAATAAATGTGAAAGGCTACATTGATTTAGTTCCAATAAAATGTGAAAGGCTTGTATGTGTGAGATAAAAAGCGATTCTCATTTAGTACAGACATAAAGTAGATTCTCATAGGATCCATGATCATGCTGAAAAGTTTGCAGCTTAGCATCTACATCACATGGTGAAAAAGAGGATCCTCATAGCATTGGTGATCATGATGAACAGTTTGCAGCTACATCATATGGTCATGGTATAAAAAACAACTAGAGTTGTTACCATCGCAACTCTTCAATCATGTATGCACTACCAAGATAATAAAGATTAAAAAGAACACAATCGATGAAAAAGGAAAATGAATGAACACGTCCACCAAGTTCTTCAAATAGTTTATAGCAAAACTAGCTCACTCTAAACTTGGGAAAAGCCTCGAATTCCCAAGTTCAAAAGCAACTAAAGATCCCTCATATCTTCTAGCTGACAAGAGCTTGCATAAGGAAACAAAATTGCAGTTTCTGCACCAAAACCTAATAAAATTAAGTCTGAACTATACCATTACTGATTAAAAAGAGAAAAAAGCATCACATAATTAACTTCAATACAAGTAACCACTGGCAAATGACAGTAAAGTAAGAAATTCGAGTTCCCTATTATCTCATTAAGTAGCTGAATCCAAAAATAGAATAAATTCTAGATAGCAAAATGATGTTTCACCCTATATGCAAAACAACTATGCCACGTAAACCAAGATTATGCTAGGCACAAAATTCTGCTAAAGCTATAAAGGTTAGGATCAGTTGATACCAAAAAATTAAAATAATCCTGTGTAAGGGAGATATTACTGACATGATAGAATGGTGGTGAACTGTTTAGTCCCCCTCCTTTAGAACAGCAGCAGCAACAGCCTCACATTTCTATTCAGTTATCTCTATTGTCCACCAGAAGCTATCAGCAATTTAGTCATCATGTTCCTTCTGTTTGGCATAAGAAAAGGAATTCTATTAGATGAAAAATGCTTGGCATAACACAAGGACATTCTATAGATCAAAGGTAAACAATGTCATAGTTAAAGCCCAAAAGAAAACTACTTTTAAAATTCGGACCGACTCAAAAATCATCAATAAATATCAAATAACATGTGAAAGGGCATCTGAGACAAGTATAAGATTGAATCAGCACAGATATACACACAAACAACTGAAGTACATCAGTAATAAGACACTAACTTGATAGGTGAGTGAATGCTTAATTGTGTGGTGTATACCCATTTCGATTCAGTGGATATGGGTTCTGATACCCAGTTCTTATACCAAAAATTTGTTCTCTTTGTCGGCATTTTCTGCTTCTCTGTCTCCACCTACTTTTTTCCTCTTTTTGATTTCTTCAAGAGATAACTTATCAGGTATTTCAAAACTCTTGTCTTCAATTTTCTTTTTCTATTTTTATGGTAATTAAAAAAATCTTACTTGTTTTAAAATCTTATGTTGTTTCTGATTATTTTGTTTGTTGCAGATTCAAAAGAAATGACAGGTCATCAGAGGACAACTCAAACCAATCGAAGGTTTCTTCTGCAGAAAACAGTCTTAAAGATTCGATTCCTATTGAGCCAAAAATAGAGTTACAACCGTGGATATACAGGGGTCGAATCCAAACAAGAAGACAAATGAATTTTCGGATGGGTTTGACCAAAAACAGACACCCGAGTTGTCTTTCAAATTCAAGTTTCCAACTTTTGAAGAATTCAATCAAAACAGGAAAAAAAAATGGGGGTTCTATCAGCTTTGAAGCTGCCCCAGATTTGAGCATCGCTAAGTACGAGTTCATGCCTGTTGTCAAGTGTTCAAGTATATATATATAACAACAGCAACAACAGCCTCTCACAGCGAAAGGAAGAGAAGAGAGATGAGATGAGTGCCTTACCGTCGAACTAGTCTCGCCGCCAAAGATATGAGTGCACCATTCACCTCTCACAACAATTGATTTTGATCCTCCCTCTATTTTGAGTGCATCGTTCGGCTGTGATCCTCTCTCTGTTTTGGGACATTGCAGTAAAGCTTTGATGAAGAATATCAGGACCGCCGTGTTCGCCTTCGATCACCACAGCTATTCGGTTAATTAGCAGTCAATCAGAACAAGGTTTGAAGAGCCCCTTTCCCCTTCCAACGAATTTTGGAACCCTATTTCTTGTCCCTCTCTTTCCTCTATGTTACTTTATCATTATAACCCACTAGAACCAGAGAGGCAAGAGTCAGTGTATCTAAATCAGATAAGAATTCAGATAAGCAATGAAAAGAGCGAAAAATCATATTCATGGCTTCAATAATTATTGGCAATCCCTAATGGAGGTACATAAAATACATTTAAACATATTGACAATCCCTAATTGAGGTACATAAAATACATTTATCTAGAATTTATATGTGCCCTTAATCTTTATTTTTTTAGTAAATCTGTTACATTTAATATTTTCTGTTAATTGCATATAAAACAAATAACATGAACGAGTTATTAACTTAACAAGTCTATATTCAAGTACTCATTTTTTCATAGCTAGTCTGAAAAAATAATATATGGGACACTATGTGTCTTAGTAGTTTTCAAAATTAGGAAAAACAATGAAATTAGTTTTGAAAATTAGGAAAAATAAAGATTGAAAAATAGAGAAATCGAGTGAGGGAGAGGGAGAGAGAGAGAGGATCTATACCTGAAAAGAGAAAAATAGAGAAATAATCGAATAAGCAACGCCGACGGCACTTACTATTGCTCGGAGGAGAACGCGGGTGACATCGGTGGCGGCACTGAAGGAGGAGAACGAATGACGTTGGTGGCAGCGCTAAAGGAGAAGAAGGGGGGCTGAAGACAGAGAACGTATGTTTTGCAAGAGAGGGATGAGAGGAAAACTGAAGCACCAAAAAAAAAAAAAATTTTTATTACTGCCCAATATTTCAAAACTTTCCATTCAAAATTAGTGACAAAATAATTTCCTCACTAAAAAGTCTCAAATTATTAAAAATTATTAGTGACAAAAATATATTTATCACTAAATGGTCTTAAAATATTTAAAATCAAATTTTTCAAAAAAAATATATATAAAATTATTGGTGACGAAAATATATTCCTCACTAATAATTTTATAATTTGTGACAAATTTTTTTTCTCACCAAAAGTGTCAAAATTTTGGCGCCACCGAAAAAAATTAGTGGGAAAACCTTCGGTGACGAAACTTAATTTTTTCTCACCTAAAAAGAAGTATTTGTTGATGAAAATAAATTTCGTCACCTATTATTTTTACTTTTTTATTATATATAACAAAATTTTATAATTCGTCGCGGATTATTTTTATTTAGTGACGAAATTTATTTTCTTCACTACTTTCGTTACCATAGGTTACTTAAAGAACTAATTAACTTATGTTTTGTTTTGAGAGTGAGAGAGATAGAGAAAAAAAAGGAGAAAGGAAAATTGATAAACAATAAAAAGGGGAGGGGGGAGTTAGTAGTCTATTTTTTTCATTACCGTCCAATATGTCAAAATTTTCCTTCCAAAATTAGTGACAAAATAATTTACTCACTAAAAAGCCTCAAAATATTAAAAATTATCAGTGATAAAAATATATTTCTCACCAAATGGTCTTAAAATATTTAAAATCAAGCTTCTCAAAAAATATATATATGTAAAATTATTGGTGACGAAAATATATTCCTCACCAATACCCTCACCAATAATTTTATAATTGGTGACAAATTTTTTTCCTCACCAAAAGTCTTAAAATTTTGGCGCCACAAAAAAAAAATTAGCGGAAAACTTTCGGTGACGAAACTTATTTTTTCCTCACCTAAAAAGAAGTATTTGTTGACGAAAATAAATTTCGTCACCTATTATTTTTATTTTTCTATTATATGTGACAAAATTTTGTAATTCGTCACGAATTTTTCTTATTTAGTGACGAAATTTATTTTCTTCACTACTTTTCGTCACCATAGGTTACTTTTGTTGTAGTGTCTTCCAAACACCAAAACCTCTCCAAACCCTACACCATTTACCCTACACCCCTTAGCACAAGGTCTCCATCATCCATTCTAGCAGCTTCAAGGCCACTTCCAGAGGTTGAGAGCCATCAAACTTGGTCCAAGAATTGTTGAAGACATAGTCTACAAGGGTGAGTCCCTATTCTCCCTCTTTTGTGCTTTATTTTGCTCAACATATTTGGTATACTTGCTTACATTTTTGGGCTCCGACCCTAACTTAAAATAGCATTTTTTTGAGCTCTTTTTCATGTTTGTTTAAGGGCCTCTCACTGTTTGAGGCCTCCTTTTTGCACTTGCTTCTTTACCTCTCTTGTATGCCTATTTCTTGTGTAGTATTTTTGGCCTATGTGTAAACTGTTTTGAGCTCTGTTATAAACTGTAAAGTGGCTTATTTTAAGCCCTCCTTCAACATTGTTTAAGGGCTCATCACTGGTTGAGGCTTCCATTTTCCACTTGCCTTTATATCCCTCTTTTGGCCTTATTTTTGCATGATTTGTTAGCCCTTTGTGCTTATATTTTTGGGCTCTGGTCCAAACTGTAAATAGACTTATTTTGACCCCCTCTTAATTTTTTATCAAGGGTCTTTTGCTTTTTTAGGTTCCCTTCTTGCTCTTTGTGTTTAAACCTCTTTTTAGGCCTTATTTTGCATAGTATTTTAGGCTTGCATGTGCACTATTTTGGATTTGATCATAAACTGTAAAATGCCATTTTTTGGGTCCCTCTTCAACATTGTTGAAGGGCCCTCTCTTGTTTGAGGCCATAAACCATGACTTGCTTCTTTATCTCACATTTAGGGCCATTTTTACATATTGGTTTAGCCCTATTTGTGTTCACCTTTTGGCCTTGATTAAAACTGTAAATATTATTTTTTTGGGACTTCCTTGAATCTGTATTCACACTTCATGTTCAAATAATGCATTTTTTACATAGCTATAGGCCATTGCGTGTGCCTAGTTTTGCATTTCGGGTCTCATTCCGTGCATCGGGTGCCATATTGCCATGTTTCGGGGCTGTTTTGCATCATGTTTAGCACTGAAATTTGCATGTTTGCATATCATGTTTCATACCTTGCCATGCTTTGTTAGAGTGGCATTTGTGCCTTAGGTTCAGTCCTCGGTTTGCGTGCATGCGTGCACGCGTCTCGAGTGTCTCATTTTCATCTAATGGACTCTTATGTGAGTGTGGCTGAGGTCCACTCATGTTGGTGTAAGTCCATCATGCATTGTGTATGCCATTTCATTTCATAGCATTGCGTATGCTAGGTTGTATGTTAGAGCATTGTGTATGCCATGTTATCTTGTGCATCGTGTATGCCATTTCATAGCATTGTGCATGTTAGGTTGTATCTAAGTTGCATTTCGTGCATATCATGCATATTGCATTGTGTTTGGGATAGGAGTTAGCCCAAGCACGGGAAACGAGGTACGTTTCGTACTTTGAGTGACGGAACGTGTCTCAATTTCCTGTCGCCGACACTCCGGATTATCCATGATGGAGTCTAAGTTTTGTTGTGCTTTCATGTGCATTCATTCCATATTGAGTTATGCAATTCGACTCCCAGGTCATCATGCATCGAGATGCGTGATTGGTGGCACGAGGATCGAGGTGTGCATACATATGTGAAAATACATTGCCATGCCCCTTTCTTGCTCTCTGTTGCAGCAAATCAAGAATCAGTAGCCTTCCAGAGCTCGGCACGCATTCCAGGAATAATTGCAAACAGAGACTAATTGGGGCATCGCCATGGATTTTCATGCAAGGCAACCTGGACATGCATCATTCATCATCCGAAGCAGAGTCGAGGCAGTCCCTGGCTTGCATGCCAGTTTAATGCTTTCCTAGTTAAAATTGTTATTTAATTAGGATTCTGTATTTATTCGGGACTGTATTATTTATTCATTCGGGACTGCATATTATTCTTTTGGACCCTCTGAGCGAGGGCATAATTGTAATAAGTGTGCGTGTGTGTGATGTATGTCTTCCAACCCCACTTCTTTCTCCCTTTTATTTACCAGCTTATGATGGTTAGATTAGGGCATATTTCAATTAGCATACCGTATGATAGCATGTTTGCATTCATTCATCTGTTTTGCATGCACCGGGCTCGGCGCATCATACTAACTGCATTGTATTTTCAATTTCAAGTTCAATACATGTTAGCTGTAGCATTTCATATGCCATGTTTAGAATAGCCGAGCCTGCTATAGTTGCATTTTTGCATGTGTTGCATTTGACATTTCTGTATAGTTAGGATCATGCATGGATTTCTAACCTAGCTTCTGTTTTGGCTTGGAGTACTCGGTAAGTTTTACGCTTTAGCACCCTTGCATGCGTGTGAGTGACTGCCATGATAGCATGCTTACCATGAGGCTAATTGCTTATGTGATATAACTGCCTGAAAGACTGTGGGTGAAGGTTGGGTTGTTTGAATTGGAACAATTCATCAAATGTGTGTTTTAAAGCCCACTAGATTGTGGCAAAATCATGTTTTCTAAGCCCACCTGAGGGTGGCAAATCCACGTCTTAGCCTACTTGCGAGTAGCACCATCAAACCATTTTCAAACAAACAAACAAACATGAAATGTTTTGTTCCAATTCATACGATCCAGTCTATACTTGTATGTTGTGCGCATCACATAGTAATCTAGGCTAATAACCGGAATAAGAACGCATAATGTTTTCAAAAATAGATATCATGGTTAGTAGAGGCCGATCTTTGATCGGGCGAGCGGGGGTGCTCACGAAGTGACCTTTCCCAATCGTACCCAAGTTCCCGAGCCGAGGCAACTTTGGTGATGACGGACACGTGGCCTTAGGCAAACGAGTCAGGGTTTCCTTAATTTCCCCAAAATAAATTATTTAGGTGGCGACTCTGTATCTGGCAAAGCAGTCCATGTTTGGCACTTCTTTAAAAGAAAATCTGTTTTCTCAAAACGATTTGCCGGATTTGGACTCTTTGGTTCAGATTACGAACCGTGACAATTTGAGAGTCCGAACTGTAGTGAGCCCAATATCGAACGGAAAGGGGGACTCGTTCCTCCCCGGGGCGTTTGGGGACGTCTACAGTTTCTGGCAACTCCGCTGGGGACTTAGAGAACTTGACTCGAACTCGTGATGTCCTGTTTTGATTACACTTGTGTGTTTCTTTGCATTACATGTGCATTGGTGCGCCTAGGACACCGT